CAGGTATCGGGGTATCTTCTGTTCCAGTCTCGCTGAATGAGGACCGATCCTCTTTCGAATTGCGAGCGAGCATTTTACCTCGCCTCATTCGCGCAAAATGAGGTAAGTGCTATTAAATTACATTATGAACAATTCTCAGCTTAGTTGCTTTAGTAATTTGAATTTTCAAGTATTCTGAAAATGAGGGAAGGCGTTGAGGATGCAGCCAATTGTTGATTGATTGCTCAAATCTCGCATGAATACGAGTTGTGCTTGTGATTGCAGCGTATCGATGGACGCAAGTGTGATGAGTTCCGCGAAGTGAAAGTTCTGGTTGGTTCCGAGCTTGGCAGCTGCCTCACTACGCTCGGACAAACAAAGTGAGTCCCTTCGTGCACTGCCACATCCACTAAAGTACAACAGTCCTTTGCTTGATTTTGTTTTTGTTTTAGAGAATCTTCATTTATTTTGAATATCTGAAGCAGCCGTTAATCCATTGCCTGTTAATCCTGAAAAGAAAAATCCTCTAAAATTTATAATGACGCTGTACATATTCGTATGAATTTCTTAAATCTAATGATCAAATTCGGGCATTTGAGCCCAAACAACGAAATTTGTTCACGGGAATGAGAAGATAGTATAATTGTTTTTGAATTTTATGCAGTTTTTTAGAGTCCTGGCACAGGTGAGCTGTTCTCTGGTGGAGCCATCCTCGACAAGAGGCAATATGGGTATGGTGGAAGTTCAGGTGGATATGTCGCCCATGGCTTGTCCCGAGAACGAGGATGGTCGTCTTGGTTCGAAAGGCCTGGAACTGATGCGGATTCTCGAGCTGCTTTATCGCGATTGCGGTGTCATCGATCTCGAATCTCTTTGCCTGAGGGCATTCAAGCAGGCAGGAGTTTTTATTGACACATTCCCTCAGAATTTGAAGTGTCGGAACAGTCAGAACATGGAAGTGAACGAATATCAGGCCTAAGCACTGTAGGCTTTCTTGTTCGCAAGTACTTCCATTATTTCAGAGGACAGCAACATTTCTTCGAGCCGAAGTTTATGCTGTTTAAAGATGGTTTTGATGAATTTTGGAGCGTCCTTCTTTTCAGGTCTGGCAAATA